TAATAATAAAGTAAATGAATAAGTAGAGTGAATGCCCTTAGCCTTTGCCCATCTGCCATGCTCAGGAACCATTCACTAAACCAGATGGCTCCTGGATGATGGTGTCTGTCTGATGGTTGCTACCAGTTGTGATCCACATCCTCCTGGAGCCTGTCATGCCCATGCAACAAGTGTCCTTCTTCAAACAGCCCAGGGGTAGCTGTGTGGTAGAATGCTTACTTGGTATGCGTGAGGCCTGGGCAGGGCCCGTGCAGGATGCCTTGGAGTACGGGCTACGTTTTACAGATGGGAAGCATTTGCTTTCTGGATAGCTTGGACAGCAGTGTCGCCTGAGGGTCACCCCACCACCAGCTGCATCTCTCCTCTAGGCCTCAGTTGCTTTATAACTGACAAGCACTTCCAGATCTGGATATGCAAGCCGTAAAAGTCCCCAAAATTCTGTCAGCTTTCTGCAGGTGGCACTAGTTGAGGAGATTCCCATTTAATGAACATTTGCTTTATTCTTTGTTATTTAATTTCAACAAGATCCAATTTATACATGGGGAAACTGAGTCTCAGAAGTTATCTTCGGGATGCCAGCAGATGGGCTGGAGAGCTGGAACTTGCCAGGGTCCAAGCCCATCTCTTAACCCAGTAGCCAGTGAGTCCACAGTGGCTCTTCAGACTCTCACATGTTCCTCCTGAGCGCTCTGCCCTTGTTGGCTGGGCCTGTGGGTTTAAGAAGAGCTACCCAGAAAACCAGTAGCCCAGATCCAGCTTTTGGAAGCTTGCAGTCTAGAAATGGGTGGGCTTGGGAGCAGAAGCTGGGCCAGGACCTCATGTCTCTGCTTTGCAGCTGGAGCCTGGCGACTGAAGCAGCTGCTCAGCTTTGCCTTAGGCGGACTCCTGGGCAATGTGTTTCTGCACCTGCTGCCAGAGGCGTGGGCCTACACCTGTAGCAACAGCCCCGGTGAGTGAGACCGCAGGGCAGGACAGGAATGCAGAGCTGGTGTCCATGCCCAGGGTTAGCCTAAGCCCTGCCGGTTCTGCAGGGTCTGGGAGGGATATGGGAAGAGAGACCCAGAAAACCTAGTCTGAGAGGGAAGGTCTAATCCTGCCGCCGTGGCCTCTTTGGGAGTCCTAGGGCCCAGCTTCTGCTCAGCAGGCCCCCTCACCCCCAGCCTCGCAGTCCCCCACCTCCTCCCTGGACTAGCTCTGACCTAGGTCCCATTCCAAATGGCTCCCTTCTAGCCACTGGCTTGGCATGGCCTGTTAGTGCTCCCCCTGCAGGTGAAGGACAGAGTCTGCAGCAGCAGCAGCAGCTGGGGTTATGGGTCATCGCCGGCTTCCTGACCTTTCTGGCACTGGAGAAGATGTTCCTGAATGGCAAGGAGGAGGGCCCCAGCCAGGTGAGCCACAGGCCCCAGAGCCTGGATATATCAGTTTTGGTTTTTTGTTTTTCTAAAGTAAGTACCCAGGGCCTGGAGAAGCCCAGGGTCTGAGTTGAATCCCCCCCCAAAAGTATCTCCTGGCTCTTTCCTGAGAGCTGTGGGAGTGTGGACCAACTTCTTTAGCAAACTCCTGAGTGACATTGTCAGCCTCTGAAGCAGTTTGATCTTGGATGGATAATGACAGTAGTGTGGGGTTGAGGTCTGACGAGTCTGGGGAACCTAGCTGAAGGGTCAGCAAAGTCTAGCCAGATCAAAGAGGTATTCAGTGTCTCTTGCCCTTCTCTCTTTCTGTCTGCCTGTCTGAGTGGGGGGCATCTAATGTCACCTCTTTCTCCTTCTTCTGGCCGTAGACCCCCAGCAAAGACCCCACTGCTGCCGCGCTCAATGGAGGCCACTGTCTGGCCCAGCCGGCTGCAGAGCCCGGCCTGAGAGCCGTGGTCCGGAACCTCAAAGTGAGTGGCCCATGAGGGCCCCCCCCCTGCAGCTGCAGAGCTGAATGGCCAGCTCAGCTCTGCCTCCCTGGCTCAGCCCGACTTTCTCTCCCTTCCCAGGTCAGTGGCTATCTCAACCTGCTGGCCAACACCATAGACAACTTCACCCATGGGCTGGCTGTGGCTGCCAGCTTCCTCGTGAGCAAAAAGGTAAGGAATGGGGCAGGTAGAGTTCTGGCACTTCTGGCGGGAATGATACCAATGTCTACCAATTTGATCAACCTTCAAAACAGTCTCTTTGCTTCTTGCTTTTATTACCAGTACCTTTGGGAAGCCCCCGTCCCTGACCCTCTGCTCAGTGCTACAGTATCTTCATCCTCTCCCTTCACCTTATTTGCATGTGCGTGCTGGCGTCACATGCTTGTGTGCTCTTGGAGGCAAAGATCCTCCGGCTGGATTTGGGTCCCTGGAGCTGGAGTTATGGACAGTTGTGAGCTACCTAGTGTGGGTGCTGGGAACTGAACTTGGGTCCTTTGGAAGAGCAGTAAGCACTCCTAACCTCTAGTCCCCCACCCCCATCGCACCTTCTGTCCCATTCTGCTGTTCTTGTTGCCAGCACGCCTCCTCTGGATGCCTCTGTCCGGCTCCTAGACTTGGCCCTGCCCACTAGCATATGCTTCTCCTTTCGTCTCCTACTGTCTTCCCTGCTCCGGCCCCAGTGGTCCCTCTACCCCTAACACTGGCTAGTCACTGTGCCTCTTCCTGGAGTGTTCCTCCTCCCACTCTAGGAACAGCTGACTCCTCATCCCTGGGCCTCGACTTAAAGGTACTTCCAAGAGGCACCTGTCCTCCCTGCCCTGTTCTCCAGAGCACCTGTCAACATTCCTCACAGCACTGCTCCATGTGGAGCCACATCCAGCCTGCGGCTTAGGGGCTGCATGTGTCCCGATGTGCTGTGGATGCAGCCAGCACATCTGTAGATGATACCCTGTTGCAGTATTAAGGCTTTGTCTCCTTTAGGCTCTACTGTCTTTCCTATAGCTACACTGCCCCGCCCAGAGCAGACTCAAACAATACATGTTTGTAGAGGGACCGGGTGTGGGGAAGCCTACTTGCCCAGCAAGGGCATCAGACTCAGACTCCCATCTCTGCAGATTGGGCTCCTAACCACCATGGCCATCCTCCTGCATGAGATCCCCCATGAGGTAAGTGCCCAGAGGGTGGCCCCAAGGCCAAAGATCCCAAGGTTCCCATGGTCAGCATGGGTATAGAACCTGGCCAGGGCTTTGGGGTGGGCCTTGCCCACAGAAGTGGGCTGGGGGAAGACACAGCAAGGTACTGGCCCAGAGGCAGGATAGACAAGAGGCTGGGTGTTCCTGTGGTCTGGTTCTGGGTGACCATCTGGGCCTTTCCTCAGGTGGGTGACTTTGCTATCCTGCTCCGGGCTGGCTTTGACCGATGGACTGCAGCCAAGCTACAGTTCTCTACAGCCTTGGGGGGCCTTCTGGGGGCCTGCTTCGCCATCTGTACCCAGTCCCCCAAAGGAGTAGGTATGAGAGCGGTGGTGGTCAGTAGAGGTACAGCAGCCAGAGGCACCGCTGCCCTGCTGCAGTTGGGCTAGTCTGCCTGGTCTCCCTGCAGGAGGGTGGGGTACACACAGTCCCCTGAGCTCACTACCAGCTGATCCTTCCCTACAGAGGAGACAGTGCTCTGGATCCTGCCCTTTACCTCTGGAGGCTTCCTCTACATTGCTCTGGTGAATGTGCTACCTGACCTCTTGGAAGAAGATGACCCGTGGTGAGTGACCTACTGGACCAGGTCCGGGAGGAACTGCCTTGGCCAGCCCTGTCCACGAGCCTCCATCCATCTCCCTCTCTCAACAGGCACTCCGTGCAGCAGGTGCTGCTGCTCTGCTCGGGCATTGTCGTGATGGTGCTGCTCTCCCTGCTCGTGGAGTAACCGTTCCTGACGTCCCACTCCGCATAGCAAGCAATAAGAGAACCAACTTGTCCTGTGACTTTGTGTGTGAGAGGCAGAGGGTGAATGCTAGAACCAGCCTCCCTGGACAAGGAGGGCGTGGTGTGCACGTGCAGCCAGATGTGTGCGAGACCGACACTGTGATCCCTGTGTGCGGAGCCCAGAGCAGCACCTGCCTGCCACCCCACTGTCACAGAACAGCAGGAGTGACAGCACTGGTGCCAGCTCAGGCCTCACCTCTCAAAGAAAGCGGCCCATGGGGCTCGGGCTACAGGGAAGCCCAGAGTTGTCCCTCCTGGGCCTCCATCCAGCCCAACAGCCCAAGAGTAATTAAAGCTGTGCTCGTACATCCGGGCCCCAAGCACCTTAGAGGTGGAGGCTGCACAGCTCTTCCCTGCTACCCATTTCCCCAGGCCTTCCTGCACCACCTCTACAGCCAAAGAAAGGAGAGGGTGCTCTGCAGCCCCAGCCCCACTCAGCACTGATACCCTACCCTTCCCCAGCACTGAGCAGGCGGCCTCTCCAGGACCTCCTCCCGGGCTGCCAGTCTGGCTAGCTCATGCTTCCCTAGCAAATGCTCCTGGGCCTCACAGGCAGCTCTCACCACCTCTAACTGCCAAACAGCAGTCTGCAAGGCAGCAGCAAGTCGTCCTCAGGCAAGCAGTCTCCTAGTGTGACTCCAGGACGCTCCTGCCAGCACAGGGTCCAGCAGACATGCCCAGGGCAGAGAATGAGCCTTGCTGCCCTTCCCTGCTCAGGCCCCTTGTCCTTTGGGTTGAGAGTAAGGTGGGGGTGGTGAGGGTTCCACATTGTCAGTGCTCAGGAATGTGAACTGGGAGAATGCTGAAGCCATAATCCCCAAGCGTTTCCCTTGGCTGACATCCAGGTACTCAGCTGGCCCACTCCAGCCCTGCTGCTCAGCTGTGGGCGTTAGAGAAGTGGCCACTGACGAGTCTGAATGATTCCAGAGCAGTTATGCTGTGGTTGTCTTTATCTGTAAATACCTGTTCTATAGATATAAATAAATATTGCCTAGACTGCTGCCTGTTCCACGTACTAGGGCAGTCAAGCAGAGCTCTTGCTACGCGCTCCAGCCAAGTCCGTTACACTTGCTGTGCATCTCTGGAGGTTTCTCATCTCCCTGCCCTGTCTCATGGTTAGCGCTGTATCTATCACAGGAATGCCTGAGCACCCATCTGAACCTTAATCACCATCGCTGCTGATCTTAGGAACCTGTGGAGCTAAGGGTGTTGATTTCCCTGTTCTCCCTTAGCGATTCTTTTGTTTGTTTGTTTTTTTGTTTTTGTTTTTTCGAGACAGGGTTTCTCTGTATAGTTTTTGGTGCCTGTCCTGGATCTCACTCTGTAGACCAGGCTGGCCTCGAACTCACAGAGATCCGCCTGGTTCTGCCTCCCCAGTGCTGATTAAAGGTGTGCGCCACCAGCGCCCGGCTAGCAATTCTTATCAAGGGACATGGAGTCATCTCCAGTTTCAACTTCAGTAGGACAGAAGTTCATTTGAGAGAGCCAGGAGTGGTGGCCCACTCTAACCTCAGCACCCAGGAGTGGTGGCCCACTCTAATCAGCACCCAGGGGTGGCCCACTCTAATCTCAGCACCCAGGAGTGGTGGCCCACTCTAACCTCAGCACCCAGGAGTGGTGGCCCACTCTAATCTCAGCACCCAGGAGTGGTGGCCCACTCTAATCAGCACCCAGGGGTGGTGGCCCACTCTAATCTCAGCACCCAGGAGTGGTGGCCCACTCTAATCTCAGCACCCAGGAGTGGTGGCCCACTCTAACCTCAGCAACCAGGAGTGGTGGCAGAAGGATCTGGGTTACAAGGCCAGCTTAGGCTACGTGAAACTACCATTTTGAAAAACAAGGGGGAAAAAAGAGGTCATGGGGAAGCATTGGATATAATAATACATCAGAAGGATGAATTCAGGGCCAGCCTGGGCTACGTGAGACCCTGCCTCACTTGCGCCTCCCCACACCACTCACCTCCCGAATAGTCAGGAGGAAAAAGGGTCTTTACCAGGCTCCCTTCCCGACTGCACCTTTACCAGCACCGCACACCAGGGGGCAGTGCCTCTCCACCAGCAGCCCACTGGCTGGACAAGGCAGCTGTGCACTGTCCGAGTCTAGTGCAGGCAGGTGGGGAACAATCACCTACCCCTTAGCCGGGAATGCCCAGCTGTCAGCGGTCTATCAGCACAGCCGTCAGAGGTCTGTCCCACCTGGCTGGCATCCGCAAGCTCACCATCCAGGACCTCAGGACCTCAGGGGAAAGCCCAGCTGTCCTTCCTGCCAGCAGGTGCTCGGGGCTGCGGCTGTGGTGTGAAGGCCTGCGGGGGGCCGACAAGCCATGCCAAGGACCACTGCCCCCCACTGCCCTCGGCCCGCCCGAGGGGTGGAGAAGGGGCTGTTATGGTGTGAGGAGCCAGCAGAGGAGGGGTGGTGCCTGCACACTCACCTCTGTCCTGGCCAAGAGCAAATTCTATCTGGTTAGAAAGGAGGAGGGCCAATCACAAACACCTGAGCTGCTCAGCTCCTGGAGAAGACATAATCGAACCACAACCACCAGGCCCCATGCACGTGGGGAAGGGCCCACCAGAGGAGAGCTGGCACGGTGGCCCTGTGCAGGTGTGACAGAAGCTTGCTGCAGTGACGTCCACTGGGAAGAGGAAAGAAGGGAGTGGCAACGAGGTTTTGCCCCTTTTGGGCAATAAAGTGGAGTTTTGAGGATTAAGTTTTGAAAGGCCACTGAGGGCTGCCAAAGCCACTGGTAAACAGCTCAGTGGAATAACGATGGGCCGGACAAGGTGGCACATGCCTTTAATCCCAGCACTCTTGAGACTAATCTCAGAGGCCACAAGCCACTGAGTTCAAGGCCAACCTGATCTACATAGAAAGTTCCAGGCTGACCAAGACTTCATAGTGAGACCCTGTCTAAAAAAAAGGAAAGAAGTGATGGATGGGTCTGGATCCCTGCTATGCCACCTCATTTCATTATGCTACAATTCCAGCCCAGTTGCTCACTTGCATCTGTAAAATGGGTACACCCAGGTCAGGGAGATGGATCAGTGGGTAAAGGTACTTACTGTGCAAGCTTGCTGATCTGAGTTCGATCCCTAAAACCCGGGTAAAGGTGGAAAGAGAGAACTGACTCCAGAGTTGTCTTCTGATGGCCATGTGTCTTGACCACAAGCACGGGCACAAAGTAAAAATGATATATGAACTCTACAGTGGCTATCCTGATAAAAAATATGCATTAAGACCTATACAGAGGCAGGGATATATCTCAGGTAATAGAGTGCTTGCCTAACATGGACTAAATCCTGGGTTCTATCCCAATGCCACATAAAACTGGGAATAGTGGGGGCTGGAGAGATGACTCAGAGGTTAAGAGCACTGGCTGCTCTTCCAGAGGTCCTGAGTTTAATTCCCAGCAAGCCCATGGTGGCTCATAACCATCTATAATGAGATCTGGTGCCCTCTTCTGGCCTGCAGGGACACATGCAGGCAGAGCACTGGACACATAATAAAGGTTAGAAGAGTTGGGAATGGTGGGGCATGCCTATCACCTCGGCACTTGGGGCTGGACTGAAGGCTGTGGGGCGCCATACAGAGCAGGGCAGACAGCAGGGTAAGGCTGGGTGAGAACGCACGATGGGACGTTAGGCCTGAATGGCTTTCAGAGTGGATCTTGCTCAAGTTTATTTTGTGAGCCAGAAAAATTGGACTGAAGGGTTAATAAGAGCTGGTGAGAAACAGGATGCCCCCAAGCCAGGACAGTGGGGTTCATTTCGAGTCAAAGCCCTAATCTTGATTTTATAAGGCGACAGGAACTCGTTGCGAGCACTGAGATGCAAGAGGGGATTGTAGCTCCTCTTTAGGGTCTTCCTTCTGAACTCCAAGGCCTCAGGCCTCTAAGGGCAGAGCTGTGGCAGGGAACGGGAGAGAAGACTTAAGGAGACTGTGGGGTGGGGACTGGAGAAGACTCCAGGCAACGGCCATGCCCTGTACCCCCAGCCACAGGGCCTCCCCCAGACAGCTGGTTGGGGCCCATGGCCATCTGTGGGAGTTTGAGACTGTAGCTCCTGAGGAGAAGACCTTCTCCACACATGCCACTCGCACCCAGAGTCCATGGAGGGTAAGACAGACGGTGGCAAAGAACAGAAAACACCTTTCTTTATTACCCACTCAGCCCACAGACCAGCGGGCGGCCTAGGTACTCCTAGGCATAGTACTGCAGGTTGGCTTTCTTCTTGGCCTGCACCTCTAAGATGCCCTCCATGTAGTCCTCGTGCGTAAGCTCCGTGGCACCCCTGCGCAGTGCGATCATACCC